GCGTCCGGGTTCTCACTACCCGATTCTGAAATGAGATTGAACATTTCCAGACGATCATGGGTCGGCCATGTCAATAGAAATTCTTGAACCTATTCTAATTTATAATCTACGCTCACGGTGTTCTCTGAATTTCTGTGGAACGTATGCAAAATCGGACAAAGCAACTGAGTGTTATCGGTTTATCAAGAGTCTACTGAACAACTGTAAAATGAATAGTGCAGGTGGTGTAATCAATGCCCTCATTGAATGTCTGATTCCTTTAGTTTAGTTACTTCAGAAAACAAACAGAATTGCATCTTGCGATGTTTTCTGGCTTCTGCTTCGGGTAAATAATGTAAGCAAAGAAAATCGTGCCTCTTGGAATGCCCGCAAGTGGGCCATACCGGTATCTTTCTCGGGATGTGGGGTGGGGGGCTTTCTACAGCAGGGGTCCTTTGTTGACCCTATCCCCTCCCCCTCTGCTTGCCAATACTTTGGCTCCGATCCTGCTTTGTACCGTGCCAAGCGACTTGCCAAACTCATGAACGAGTTTGCACCGCGGAAGTTGGCTCGCCCGACCGGCCCCGAGCATCTCACACTGCTGCATGGCCAAAACAGCGCCATACTCGTCCGAAAGGAAGACGATGAATGGACGATTCATTGATCACACTGAGTCGCACGCACTGTGTGTTATTGGCAGTGCTACATTCATTCGTGCATATGCGACACGTCTTCACAAGAGCTCATTTGAAATTGTAGAAACTGTCGGCACATCTGAATCGTTGGATCTGGTTAAGTTGACGTGCAGAAAGGTCACTATGTCTGGTGCTTAAATCGCACACTTTTAACAAACTGCGGTTTGAGCTGTTTACGGCCGGAGATAGCAATGTCAGAAAATGCGCACTAGACCGGGTCTATTTCAGCGACCAATAATGAACAAGATTCACAAGAGCTCACTGTCATTTCCTGTGCAGTACACATTCGCGACAGGGCAGTGGGTTCGCTCAGCGTGTGCCCAAAGGATGCTGGTGGCGACAGAGATTGTCAGCCTGCTAATGAATGTTTCAAATATGTATAACATCTATAAGACAGCATTATATTGCTAATGCTTAAAAAACTTTCTATCTTATTGTCACTTAAAAAAAACAATTCTATTCATTTTGCGATCGTGATTGGGAACTGAACATACGAAGGGAACGCTATCACACTTCTTTCCACTGGAGGGCTGTAAAACGCCATCACACTACTTTCCACTGGAGGGCTATAAAACGACACAGGACAAATCAAGGTGTCAGAGCTCATTACGCTTCCTTTCGTTTACTTTCATGACGGTAAAGCAGTCGGTATGTGTACAAGCATTGGCATACTTCGACAGGGAAACACACTTTACCCCTACACTTAGCCCCGCGAAGGCTTTGCAAGTAAGTACTAACCAGTTGGATAACCAAGTTAAATAACCTTTGGACTGAGGCGATCAAAGGTGACGTACACAACAAACGGTCTGAGCAGGGCTTTCACACTGAGAGCTCTAACAGTCTTTTGATTTTTGAGGCCATTCTGCTCATGCATCGCTTTGTGCCTAGAGTCAAAATCGGAAACAAATGAAATGGTCACTTTGCATACTGTTGAGATCTGGACTCTAAAAATATATGATGTGACATCTCTTAACTTGATGGGCTTTGAAGCGCTCATTCTTTTTGGTGTAATTTACATCTTGCTTCGATAGACAGATACGTTTGTGTTTAGTTACCCTTTTAAGTGTGATTATTTTGTCAGGATCCGCTTCCTAAACTAATTCTCTCCATGCATCGACATATGGGGCTAAACTAAAGCTGTTGCGGCACGAGTTGACCATTGAGTCTTTGCTGGTTTAAAGATTAAAACCAAACCTGTTTTGTTTGGAGGAATTTCGGGGACCCGATCTCACGCTAACTTAGCTAAGCAGTGTTTGCTGTGTGAGTCCTGACCCCGCCACGCGATCGTGCAAGCCCGGGTCAATGGCGGCATTTGGTGGCAACATTTTAACTAGCTCAAAAATATATTGTAAACACAAAAATGTATCACAATGCTCGATACGATCCGTCCTGCCGTATGGCGCCATCTGGCCTTTATCGATGGCAGCGACAGGTGCCTGCGGACCAAGCTCGCCTGACCCTCTGCTTCTGTGCCGAGCTATGCAAAACCGGCAGCCGGTAGAATATGTTTTTCTGTCAAACTCACCTCTGCACCCACGTTAAAAAAATAAACGGTGACGTACCGGGCGAAACGGGCAAAATCCATCAAAACTTCATGCGGTGCCTCCATAAGGTGGTATATCTCGGCGAGATAGGCCTGTGCGTGGGGCCGGGGTTCACACGCCCACCGCCGCACGACAATTGAAGTGGCCGTCATTTAGCGCGCCGCCGGCGCCTCCCTGATGAACAGGTGGCGCTCGCCGCCGATTTGACAGTGGCCCCAGTGGCAGTGGCACCGAACGCCGGGAAATTAATGA